CCCCCCCCCCCCCCCCCCCCGCCCACCAGCTGGCCGTCCTCCCACGCCCCGGCCAGCTGGAAGCACTCTGGCCCACGTCCCCCTGGAGGCCGGAGTGTCAACTGTCCTCCAGCGCGGGATGGGCCTAGGATCCCGATGACGCGGTCCACACTTCCAGAAGAGGCAGGAGTGGCAAATTCACAACCTTCTTCCCCTTTCTTTTCCCTCCCTCGGGTCCTTTCCGTGGTGCTCTCTTTTTTTCTCTCTCCTGTTTGTGTCTTTTTCCCTCCCCCCCCCCCCCCCCCCGCCAGGCGGTAACTCCGCAGCTCGGGGCCCCGGGCGAACAGGTGGGGCACCCCCCGACGGTTGCGACCCCGCCGTGGTACGTGCGCCGGCACGTCGGCACCGGGCCGCCCATAAAAATGACCCCTGGTGGCCCCTGCGCGCGCGCGCGCGCACGCCCAGCCGACCCTGCCCCGCCGCATGCTTTACCGTCGGCATTTCCGGGGGCCCGGGCAATGACCCTCCCTCGACCTCGCCCGAGCGCGCGTGCAGCCCGATCTCGGTTACTCGAGAGAATACTCAGTTAATGGATCCCGGGTGTGATATGTGGCGTGATCAACGGGCCCGCTCCACGATCTTGACCACGCTCTCGCCTCATTTCCGAGCGACAAATCGGAAAAACAAAAGACACTGGGCTGGACGCGCTTGCCTTTCCGAACACACATACACACACAGACATCCTCCCTCCCTTTTCCTCCCCCCCCCACTGCTCCTGCTCCTGCGATACATCGTCATGAAGGGTCGCTTCACTCTCGACTCGCGAGATCACTTCTACCGCCAGGCCAAGGCCGAGCGCTGGCGGGCTCGGTCAGCCTTCAAGCTTCTTCAGATCGCCGAGCACTATCGGATCTTTGATGGTGCGATGCCTTCTCCCTGCCCTCTGCCTTTCTCTTTGCCACTTGGCTCCTCACTCACCGAGGCCTCTTCTCTTCTGCTCTTCAAGGTGTTACTCGGGCGGTGGACCTGTGCGCGGCCCCCGGGTCCTGGAGTCAAGTGTTGCGTCGTGAACTTTGGTATGGACGCGCGCCCCTCCCACGCATTCAGGATGATTCTTGCGCCGGGCCAAGGCACTTACATCTGCCCCTACCCCCCCCCCCCCCCCGCTCCCCCCATGCACACGCAACTCCAGCTCCGATGCGGCCATTGTCTCGATTGATTTGCAGCCCATCGCTCCCCTGAAGGGCGTTCACTTGATCCAGGCAGACATCACCCACCCGGACACCATTCGCCAAGTGCATGAGGCCCTTAGTCGGCCGACGGATCCGACTCAGGCCGCCCCGATGGACGAAGACTCGGGGCCTACCGTGGCGGACAAGGGATTGGCCGATCTGGTTGTGTGTGACGGCGCGCCAGATGGTGCGTCACCGCCTCTTCCTTTCTCTCTCTCTCTCTCTCTCTCTCTCTCTCTCTCTCTCTCTCTCCCTCTCCCTCTCTCTCTCCCTCTCCCTCTCTCTCTCTCTC